AAACCAATCAAATCTCTTAAGTAATATCTTGGGTTTGCCTTTAACTTTTTTATTTTTAACTTTTATTTCATTATATACAAAATTGATTTTTCATGTATTTCTCTACAATACAATTATGTAAGAATTTGATAAATAACATGACTCCATTGTTTTAAATAATTAATTTGGATGTATTTTTATGTTTTTCTCAACCTGAATTTTAAATGAATTTAGTTTAAAATATGCCTAAAGATAATCTTTAGTATTTATTAAAAAAAAATAATTATAGAATTTTTTGAAAACAAATTTATAAAATTTTGAACTGATTTAAATAATTAAAAACACAACTATGCTTGAAAAGAATACATAGTAAACCCTTGATTTAATGAACTTATAAAGGGTAAATAGGTATCTGTAATGCCAAAATTCCATAAAATTGAAGTATTAAAATCAGAATTTTTAACTATTTTAGGCTTTGACCAGTGGACCTTTACCTGGGATGTCATGCATTTTTATAGCTTTTATAGCAATTTGACATTGTTTTATCTAGAAAATGTACACTATGCAGTTTGTGATTCAGTGTCATTGCTTCAGTTTTAAGAGTTTAAAAAACAAAAAGCATTCTAGTTTTTATAATAATAAATTTATTATAAGATTTAATGTATCTGACTTTTAAGTGCACCCAAATGTCTTGAAAGCGTTCCTAAGATAACTTCTGGTTTACAACAATCTGTTTCTGCCACATACAAATTGTCATTTATTAAAAAGTTTGTAAAAGTAAATCTTTATGCAAAAATACTTCAAATCATCCTGTAAATTTTCTTCTTTATGCAACTTACAAAGAACAGAAAATTTTTATAGTGGAGACATTCCTGGTGATTGCATTTACTTTAAGCAACAATAACAAACTAACTCTAAACTTAGAGCAGTGTTTCTCAACCTCTAATGAATCGTTGCCCCCTTCAACATGGTATCGTCCCCTTCAATAAAACCGTTACCTATTATCGCCCCCTTCACTTCAAAATTCTAATGCCCAGGGTCAAGGCTAACACCAAATTCATACTGCATTGAATAGACTAGTGACTAGTATAATGTTATTTGTTTAATTATTGTACGATATAATGAATAAAATATCTAATTATTCTTAATATAATGTTTTACTATATCACCCAGAAAATTGTTTTTCGCCTCACAAAATATAAATTGTTACTCCTCAACATGAAAATTGTTACTGCCCCTCAACATGGAAAAATGCCCACAAGGGGGCGATATTGCCCCCGTTGAGAAACACTGCCTTAGAGCTAGTGACAAACAGTCATTTGGTCAACTCCTAGCAACTCCAAACTCACAAGTAAACTCATTTGATCACAGTTCAAATTATCTTTTGGGGAATTAACTTCAATTTACAATATCAAGCTTAATGAAACTTTGGTCTGGTTTATCATTTTACAGGATTAAGAAGCTACTGCAGGTGTTCTTTTCTATCCTTTGAAATATTTTAGGCAGTAAAATTTTATGAAAATCAGTCATACTTCTAGTTTTTAAATGAATACCACACCAGGATAATGATAATATAACACACTCTAAAACCAATAACTGGTGCGAAGTAAGGTTAAACAACAAATAACAAACATTTTCTTAACTCCTTCTGAGTTCTTCCTCAGATTTTTTTAATTCAAAATTAGCTGGATCGTCTAAATTCATTCTAGAATATAATATTCAAATATATAATCAAACTGTAAGATGAAGAGATTGAACAAGGGATTTATGTGCATGCATACTCTTGTGTTACCCTTAAATAAGATAAACAATTAAACTCCGCTGTCAAGTAAAGCCTGCCAACCCATTGATAAACTCATCTCTTCCCTAAAATTAATGCATATGGACTTGCAGTAAGTCTTAAAAATCTCCACTGCCTCTAACCACTTGTGGAATTCTGCATGTGAAGTAGTAAGGATGAGTTGGGCTCTGGAGAATTCTGCAGAAATATCAGGGTCCATCACGTACATGGAGAGTGCGGTGGTACAGCATAATAAGAATACTACTACACTCTCCTTGTTTGATCTCTTCATCTTATAGTTCGATTATATATTTGAATATTATATTCTAGAATGAATTTAGAAGATCCAGCTAATTTTGAATTAAAAAACCTGAGGAAGAATTCAGGAGTTAAGACAACATTTGTTATTTGTTGCTTAACCTTACTTCGCACCAGTTATTGGTTTCAAAGATTGTTGCTATATTATTTAAATGAACAACTGAATGCAAAGTAATCTAATCCATTTTTTCAATTTAAAAAAAAATTATACCCAAGTTAATATTTCAAGTTACTCTTCAAAAGAAACTATATCTAGTTTTCTCAATAATCATAAAATAATGTGAACATGCTAGAAAATGATAGTTTCAAGTCATCTTATTTATTATATTTTTTAGTATGTTTTTGGATTCATTTTGGTTTAGACCAGTGTTTCCCAACCTTTTTTTGTGCTATGCCTCACCTAAGCCTTTCTAAAATTCTTATGCCCCCTAACATATGCAGCAGCTATATGGTTAACTTACTTGTAAAAACAAACATAATATTCTGTATAAAAAATAATTGCATTTGTAGATTTCATATTAACCAGAACCAGAAGTTAGGTAAACTGTGGACGAGTCCAATTTTGAATTGCCTCCCTTAATAATCCAATTGCCCATGGGGCGTGGCCCCACGTTGGGAAATACTGGTTTAGACCATTGTTCTGACTTCATCAATTGGTATTTATGTTCTTAAAGTTTGAGTTAGGTCAGGCATGGTCAACATACGGCCCACGGGCCAGATCTGGCCCGTCTAATGAATCTATGTGGCCCGTGATCAATCTTTCAATATTAGGTATTGAAGGACCTTTACCTGGGATGTCATGCATTTTTATAGCTTTTATAGCAATTTGACATTGTTTTATCTAGAAAATGTACACTATGCAGTTTGTGATTCAGTGTCATTGCTTCAGTTTTAAGAGTTTAAAAAACAAAAAGCATTCTAGTTTTTATAATAATAAATTTATTATAAGATTTAATGTATCTGACTTTTAAGTGCACCCAAATGTCTTGAAAGCGTTCCTAAGATAACTTCTGGTTTACAACAATCTGTTTCTGCCACATACAAATTGTCATTTATTAAAAAGTTTGTAAAAGTAAATCTTTATGCAAAAATACTTCAAATCATCTGTAAATTTTCTTCTTTATGCAACTTACAAAGAACAGAAAATTTTTATAGTGGAGACATTCCTGGTGATTGCATTTACTTTAAGCAACAATAACAAACTAACTCTAAACTTAGAGCAGTGTTTCTCAACCTCTAATGAATCGTTGCCCCCTTCAACATGGTATCGTCCCCTTCAATAAAACCGTTACCTATTATCGCCCCCTTCACTTCAAAATTCTAATGCCCAGGGTCAAGGCTAACACCAAATTCATACTGCATTGAATAGACTAGTGACTAGTATAATGTTATTTGTTTAATTATTGTACGATATAATGAATAAAATATCTAATTATTCTTAATATAATGTTTTACTATATCACCCAGAAAATTGTTTTTCGCCTCACAAAATATAAATTGTTACTCCTCAACATGAAAATTGTTACTGCCCCTCAACATGGAAAAATGCCCACAAGGGGGCGATATTGCCCCCGTTGAGAAACACTGCCTTAGAGCTAGTGACAAACAGTCATTTGGTCAACTCCTAGCAACTCCAAACTCACAAGTAAACTCATTTGATCACAGTTCAAATTATCTTTTGGGGAATTAACTTCAATTTACAATATCAAGCTTAATGAAACTTTGGTCTGGTTTATCATTTTACAGGATTAAGAAGCTACTGCAGGTGTTCTTTTCTATCCTTTGAAATATTTTAGGCAGTAAAATTTTATGAAAATCAGTCATACTTCTAGTTTTTAAATGAATACCACACCAGGATAATGATAATATAACACACTCTAAAACCAATAACTGGTGCGAAGTAAGGTTAAACAACAAATAACAAACATTTTCTTAACTCCTTCTGAGTTCTTCCTCAGATTTTTTTAATTCAAAATTAGCTGGATCGTCTAAATTCATTCTAGAATATAATATTCAAATATATAATCAAACTGTAAGATGAAGAGATTGAACAAGGGATTTATGTGCATGCATACTCTTGTGTTACCCTTAAATAAGATAAACAATTAAACTCCGCTGTCAAGTAAAGCCTGCCAACCCATTGATAAACTCATCTCTTCCCTAAAATTANCCTTTTCTGTTTGATGATATTACTCAATTTGTTTACTCGATGGCAGTACACTTTCGAATCAACTGTTAAATTGTCTGGTAAAGCTCCAAAAAAAAAAAATTCCTTAAAATCCCACCAAAGAGAGCATATCTCTTTAAGAACATGTGAAACCCATATATCAAGCTTTGAAACAAAACCAATTTGTTTCAAGTAATCATAAACGGTTCAATTTGACAAATTTAATCTCTTAGTGATTTCACGTGTCTTTATTCGGCAGTTTGCTTCAATCATTACCTTTATTTTGTTTTCATTGGCTTCAACTGGCCATCCAGAACATGGTGCATCTTCAATATTGAAATTGCCAGAACAAAATTTTGTAAACCAGTTTTGTCACTGTTGTTCTGTCAATACATCTTCTCTATACATGTCACACAATTTTTTTCTCGCTTGAACAGCATTCTTACCTTTTCAGTAATAAAAGAGCAAAATATGCCGAAAATGCTGCTTTTGATCTTCCATATTTGATGGGACACAAAAAATAAACAATTGCACCAAATCAAACAAAATTTTTTACAAACAAGCCTTAAAATTATAGCTGTCAAAATATATAATGATAATACGGTTTAGAATAAAAATGGCAGGAAAAATACGACTAATCTGTCTAATGAATTTATGTGGCCCGCGATCAATCTTTCAAATAGCTCGATGAAAAATTCTGACGCCTAAAAAAAAAAAAGTCAACAACTCACCGTGCGGTTAGAGTTAACCCTCCATTACAAATCTCTTAAGTACAGCATAGTGTTGATAAAGCATGATAATGTAAAAAATGTATCTGTAATCTCTATCTATTCAGTCTCTACGGGGTGACACCACAATGAGATCTCGCATCACCTCAAAATCTTAGGGCAACCTCTGGTTCGGCCCGTGAAAAAAGTTTTCTTTCCAATCCAGCCTGGGGGCAAAAACTGTTGGCCACCCCTTGTCTAGTAGTAAAAAAAAATGAAATTACTTTCTGAACAACCCAATAGATTCTTTTTTGAGTATAGGCAACATCTGTCATTTTTTCCCCCAGATGTATTTTTAGCTAGATCAGTAGTGTCTGGCCTAATAATTAGCTTTGGCCAAGTTTAGTCCAAAGGTTTTCCCAAAGCTAAAGGTTTGTTTATTGCCTAATTGCTATTGCTTGCATGTACACAGTGACAGCTAGCAGATACCCACGTGTTTCCAATTTCACATTAGTAAAATAAAACAGTACAGTTAAGTGACATAAGATTGTGTATGCAAGTAGAATACTTTGTTTTTCATTAAACAAAATAATAATCTGTTATGATGATAATACGATTTATTGTGTTTTATAATATTTACATTTGTTTCTCAACACATTTTGTTGCAAACTTAAGTAGAAGATCATTAATATGTTTAAGGAATGGATTTTTCACAAATTTTTAGTTTTGTTTCAGTTAAGAGAATTAACACAAATAAAAAATTATCAGTCAAATGAAAAAATAACTGATAGTTTAATTTATTGCTTTTCAGTATGAAACTAACAAAACTAATCTTAAAAAGGAATGATTAGTCATTTTTTTTAGTTCATAATATTTCTAGAAAAATATGATTTTGTTACAGTTGTTAAAGCAAGGAATGATTATTTTTATTGATGGTATATGAGAAAATGTTTTGAAATAAGAAATAAAATAATTTAATAATGTCTTACTTGCCTTAGTATTATTTTGAATTAAGTCTCAAAATGTATCTTTTTGATGTGCCAAGAATAAACAATATGTGAACTGTTAAAAACAGACAAGTACTTTTGCACTTTGAAATTGAGATTAAATATGTAAAGCTAACAAGGAATAAAACAAAAAAAGTCTTTACTTTTTAGCATTATACAATTTCTTCAGCTTTTGCCAAAAAAATTACCTTCAGTTTGAATCTAAAGTCCAACTGAAGGTAATTTAGAGATTGGATTTCTGAAGTAATCTCTTGTGGAGTGCACAATGACATACTTTAGGCATTTCAAAACCTAATTGTAAGAATCTACATTTATAACATGAATAATACAGTAGAAAAGTGGTACAAAAAGAAAGTATAACTTGAGGTTAAGCATTATCACCAATATACTCATTAATAATAAAGTTTAACCTCAGTTAAAAAGAAAAAGTAGCTAGATGTACTTGTTTGCATATTTTTGGCATTTATTATTTGTCCAATTTTGAATTAATATTTTTTATACTTTAATAAAGAAAAACATTCATCATTTCTACCACTTTTCTGGTGATCATCTCATATATCTTATATACTTTTTTACTCTTTCTGACCAATGGGTATCAAGAGGGCTTTCTTTCTCTTCTATACCAATGATGGGTTGGGATAGCCAGGTGGCAATGGACTGATGGACCACCAGCAAAAATTCCTGGGGTTTTTTAGACCTCCAGATTTGTTCTCTGATTCCCTGGAATGGTAAGTCAACACCTGAACTGCCTCAGTCGTTATCACATTACATATCTTGCCAATAAATAAATTTACAATAAGATATCTCAAATGTAATAATGTAAACAGCATGAAATACATACAATGGAAATATTTGACAAAGACGGACTTATAATCATAAAGTGTGTGGTGTTAACTTATACTTTGTATATTGACATGATGCTAAAAGAATTTTTTTTATTTCTGTAAGTGATCACACATACGTAAGAATGCTTTCATGTTAACTTGAAAGTTTCAATGTAAGAAAAGTTATATATTTTACATTTTCAATAGTATGACTCTCCTAGCAAAATGTGCTATTTATACCTTTTTAAATTAATAAAATGGACTTACCTTCAAACTGGGTACAATCTCACAACAACCTTTAAAAATTTTTTCATGATCATTTTCGTCCACTTCACAATTCCAATCATCAACTTGTGAAGTACCACCTAATACAATTGTTTCTGAACTGTGATGTAAAAATATTTATTTTAATATTAAGCTATTTTTAATATATTCACTTGTTATCATATCAAATATATACAGAGTGCATCTGTGTGTATGCACACACAATCTTGGTATCCAGCCATTGTTCATTTGACACATTCAGTAATCCAAAACTAGTTGACTTGGGTATTACTGGCACTATTCCCAAGTTCTAGACNATGAAAATTTTTCAAATATAGACTAATTAATTATAACTTTTTCTAATTTTAAGAATCTGTAGTTCAATCATTCTTTGATAGTATTAATGCTAAAAACAAATGCACAATAAATATTTTATTGTGCATTTGTCCCGCAAAAATTACTGGCATTTTAAACTTTAAGGAACTCTTGTAAAATCAACAACATAATTTGCTAATGTAAAGCTGGACAAGAACCTTTTTTGCCAATTCTTAACAGTCGATTACACTTATGAGTTTCTCCGAATAATCATCTGTTTTCACATGGAAATGGATTAAAATTTATATCGTGCTCCTGTGTAATTTTGGAATTTCAATCTTGAATTCAATTCAAAAGCTTTGCTTTTCCTATTGCTATTCATCTTTACTCCTGACAATACACAAGAATGATTGAAATAACCCAGATAAAATACTTTTGTTTTTAAACACTAGAGGGTGATCATCCAGTAAAAAAATGTGAACACAAGGTTCACAAAAATTATTGCAAAAATGCAAGGAATCGTTTGCTCGTGCGTATAGGACAACCTAAAATTTTGAAGCAATGAAAAATGAATAAAAACTTTGTCTTATATGCGAGTAAATACAGTACGTAGACAAATTTAAATATTGACTTTTCTCAAAAGTCCATTAATTTTATTTAATTTTAAATTAATTTTAACTTACTTTGGTAAAATATAGTATGAAGATGCTAAAATTGCATGTTTAACCCAAGGAGCTTTGACCTAGAGTCAAAAAATAATAATAAATCAATAAAAGTTAATAAAATTAACAAATCAAATACTAGTTGTAATAAATAATTGACACACGCCAGAAGAATACAATAATAAACTTTTTACAAACCTATAACCAGCATGAAATATGTTCAATTGCTTACGCTAACGTTTTTGGATCCCACTGGATCCTTCATCAGGCTATGTTCCATTCGTAACGATCCGTTAGAATGCCAGCTGTCTTTGGAACGAAATTTCAAATATTGTATTTTGGGTTCCATTCGGAATCACGTGCCTTCCAACTCGAAACTCCAGTTGCCATGTAACGATCTTCTGCTTGTATGTCGGATTATGTATTTTTATGAATAAATTTGTTTGAGCGTGTCGGAAGTTGGAAAAAATGCGTGTAGCTATTTTTAACTTATTATAAGTACCGATGTCGTTTTAATTTGAATCTCCCTTCCGTATTAGGGCTTGCCATGCCAAAGATAACGTGATTTCATCTTTGGAATTAATGGGGGTTGATGAGTCGTAGGCTTTGCATATTTCTATTTGTTCTAACCATCTGAGTTGGTCCACATATGACGTTGTAATAAGGAGTTTGGCTCTCGCGAAGTCCGCAGATATTTCCGGATCCGATGCATATACAGATAAAGCGGTGGTACATCTGTTGTGTATAATGTCCTTTTGGTGTTCCTTCCATCTTACTCCAACTGCTCTTTTTGTGGCTCCAATGTATACTAATTCTCTGTTGCATCTATGGTCAGTGAGCGGCACCGCATACATTCCAGGAAGTCTGTCTTGACTCGGCTTGTCTTTCTCATTGCGCAGAAAATGAAAAAATGAATCGCGAGACAATAAGGAGTGCTATGCGCACTCCTTGTTGTCTCGCGATTCTACAATATACGGAAGCTAAGATCTTATTCTAAGCGCATCATACCTGTCACATACAACCCGATCTTAGCTTCCGTATATTGTAGAATCGCGAGACAACAAGGAGTGCGCATAGCATATAGAAGATGCCCCTCTATTTTTCATCTTCTGCGCAATGAGAAAGACAAGCTGAGTCAAGACAGACTTCCTGGAATGTATGCGGTGCCGCTCACTGACCATAGATGCAACAGAGAATTAGTATACATTGGAGCCACAAAAAGAGCAGTTGGAGTAAGATGGAAGGAACACCAAAAGGACATTATACTCAACAGATGTACCACCGCTTTATCTGTATATGCATCGGATCCGGAAATATCTGCGGACTTCGCGAGAGCCAAACTCCTTATTACAACGTCATATGTGGACCAACTCAGATGGTTAGAACAAATAGAAATATGCAAAGCCTACGACTCATCAACCCCCATTAATTCCAAAGATGAAATCACGTTATCTTTGGCATGGCAAGCCCTAATACGGAAGGGAGATTCAAATTAAAACGACATCGGTACTTATAATAAGTTAAAAATAGCTACACGCATTTTTTCCAACTTCCGACACGCTCAAACAAATTTATTCATAAAAATACATAATCCGACATACAAGCAGAAGATCGTTACATGGCAACTGGAGTTTCGAGTTGGAAGGCACGTGATTCCGAATGGAACCCAAAATACGATATTTGAAATTTCGTTCCAAAGACAGCTGGCATTCTAACGGATCGTTACGAATGGAACATAGCCTGATGAAGGATCCAGTGGGATCCGAAAACGTTAGCGTAAGCAATTGAACATATTTCATGCTGGTTATAGGTTTGTAGAAAGTTTATTACTACTTGTAATTTTGTGACATTATTTTCTGAATAAACAAAGTAACAATTCAAACAATTTGCTAACAAGCTAGGCAAAGTTTTTATGCATTATCAATTTATTATACTAATTAGAAGACTAATTTAATCTGTTTTAGAAGTTTTACTTCACATTGCTTGCTGTTTGTGGTTCCTGGATTAGAATTAAAAAGGAAGTGCATAGGAAAAAAGACTCATTTGAATAGACTTAAATTTTCAAATTAACTATAATTCCTGGGCTAATGTGTACAACTAATTTAATCCTTTAGATTAAAATATTTAATTAATTGTATATAATTTTTGTATTGTTATTTATTCCAGTGCAAAGCACCTGAAACTTTTGATAAGCAGAAATAGTCAAAGAATAAATCCTGATTTACATATCATATCTCAATTTAAAGAAAGAAACCAAGATCCAAAAGAAAAAATGCATTTTGGCCCTGGATGGAATTTGATCTCACTCAACTTTCAGGATATACTTATCCTGTCTTCAGTCTGGACTTTGGGTTTCTTTCTTTGAGTGAACATGTGGTTTATGTATCAGGATTTGTACAAAGGATTATCAAAAAATTTCTGTTTGATAGCACTGCAGTCAAATGTATGACATAAATTATGTTCAGGACGAGTCAATATAAAGCCAGTGATCTAGTCATATGATAAGTAATATATTTGTTGCACTCAGAATTGCATTTGGAACATGCAGGAAACATATTGATGGCTTTGTTGCTAACAAAGTCATCTAATCAGACCAACATGCCACTATTCTGTTTTGGTTGCATAAGGACATAAATAGTGGAATTCATTACAAAATAGCAAAGGTGTATGGGAATGAGTGCCTGTTCAAAACGATTAATATGGAGTCAGAGCTGGCCTGAGAAGGGTGTGAATGGTGCCAGCGCACAAGGCCCCGTGCCTCTGACCAGGGGCGCCGCTAGCTGTTTGAACGCCCGTGTGCAATATCGATTATGCCGCCCCCTGTTTAACTACGATTACCTATGCTGAGCTTGCCAGAAAGGCTCTTTGCCGCCCCCTGGACGTGCCGCCCGCGTGCGGTGCACACCTTGCACGCCCGCTTACGGCGGCCCTGCCTCTGACTGATTTTGCAAAATCAAAATGGTTTCATTTTCTTTTCTTTTCTTTCTTTTTTTTTTTTTTGTTTTAATCCAAATATACATATATCTGAATATCATCAAGCAATAAGTGCACATTTCACATCGACCAATCAAAGGCAAGGTTGGGTGCTTTGAGTCAATCACTACGCTTGCAGATAGCTAGCGCAGACTATGAGAAAAGTAAAAACCATGTTTCATTGTGCTTGTGTTATGTTGTAACAGCTTATTGTACATCACTTATTGTATCATTTATTGTATCATTATTGTATGTTTTTATCATGAGTATGAAATAAATAAAATATTTGTATTTAAAAGGATGACAAGTGTTTAATGTAATATATTATTGAACTTTATTGAATAATATAACTAGAAATATATGTATTATCAAGACAGGAAAACATGACTCGTTGTTATAATCATATTACTAAAAAAGTGAATTGTAAGTATATATATTGTTTACCTTATTTATTTATGTATTACATTATCTATACAGGTATACCTCGCCTTACGTCAGTAATTGGTTCCAGGAGAACGACTTAAGTCGAAAAACGACGTAAGTTGAATTTACTTGTCTCCAAATCTACTTGCCACTAGGCTAAACCATAAATTACCAATTCCCGTTCTGTATTTTATTTATTAATGCATTTTTAATAATATATGGTTAATAAGGATCTATTTTAAGCTTACAAACAAATAAATTTCAGTTTTTAATATAGTACAGAAAAAAGTAATTTAAATTTACGAATGCACGTACTGTAAATACAGTATATACTTGTAAATGTATATATTATAATATGATTTTATGTGCTTTANTAGTTTTTAATATAGTACAGAAAAAAGTAATTTAAATTTACGAATGCACGTACTGTAAATACAGTATATACTTGTAAATGTATATATTATAATATGATTTTATGTGCTTTAAACATTTTTCTAGTGATATTACGACTTCAATATTTGTGGCGGACAGATGTAAAGTCGAATAAAATGACTTAAACTTGATTTGTATTTTTCCATATACTTTCTTGACAAACGACGTATAATCGGGAACGACGTAACTCAAAACGACGTAAGTCGAGGTATACCTGTACTTCTTGTAGTGTTTGTATGTGTTTTATAATATTGTTTTTAGTCAATTTCACAACATGACTAGTAGAGACAGAGATGTTGGAAGAAAGTATGTGTGGCTCTGATAAAGTAAGGAAAAAAAGAAAGAGAAGAAATTGCGGTAAAACAGAGGAGCTTCCTCGAAAAACTTTTAAAAACCGAAAACGTGCAACAAACTGAAGAAACATATATTGTAATTCACAGTTACTGAAAGATCAAACTCACAGAAATGAAATTATGCCTTGTAAAAATTATCCTGATCATCATAAGCCAGCTCTTGTCTTAATGAAGAGAAAAGAGATATAAGAAAACTGAGGAACGGGTAGATAATCATGAAGCAGAGGGAAATGTACAGACAGAGGATTTTTTGTTGACATTGAACAAAGAACAAGATGAATTATTCTGAGGATCACAGCTTCAAGAAAATCAACAAAATGAAGAAGACTAAAATGTCAATGTCAATGATCCTGTACTTGGCCTGAAATTATAACTGATAAATTTAGATGGTTATCATATAAAATGGCATGACACAAGTAAAAAACCTGTGCCACACCATTTTGTATGCAAAAGTCATATTTTCAATTTAGTTATTGGAGACATTTCAAAAATCATCTCTTGCAAATTCATTTTTTGGGACTTTACAAAGCATATATAATATTTTTGCAAGTTCTGTGATATACTGGGACCTATTAAAAGAGTATGTCAAACATCTAACTCCAAAACCTCTGTCAGAAATGATATGGGAATTTCACCTCAAAAGTGTGAAATCTGTGAGATTCCAAGTACCACAGTTTTCTCTAGCTTTGAAATACCTTTATGAACATACATACATACATACATACATACATACATACAAGAAAGACATCAGCGGTACACAAAGTGTTTAGCAGGCAGAAAAGAGGGTAAGGGAAAGGGGAGGGAAAGAAGGAGGGAGAGGAGATAGAAGAGGAAGGATCACTCTGAAAGGAGTACATAAGGCTACAGTACCCTCTGTGTTTGATGTTGGCATGCAGTTT